CAAAGCATGTATAATTTATATAATTATAATGCCTATTGCACTTTTTTTAAATAGAAATGTTGATTATTTATATTGTTAATTTTTTGTTTGACGTTTGACTTTTCTGTAGTGCACATTTTACATTGAACGTCGGGATGAAAAATTATTAGTCGGTAAATCATCTGATAAATTGACACAGCAGCGCGAAATGACTTTAAATCATGGAGGTTTTCAGAGTGTATTATTATTATTACGAGTAAAAGAAACACACGGATTAGCATTTAATTAAACGCTTAATTGACGGCTTATTAGGATAGCAGTACTAATTAAGATTTTGTGAAGCTCCTAATAATAATTACTCAATATATTATTCTACTAATAATTATATAGAATTATATTTTTCAATTAATTATAATTATTATGTCCCTTATATAAAGAAACAATCTTTTAGTACATATATATATACATATAAATACATCTTTTCTTTCCAAAAGTTATAATTTATAAAATATTCTAGCTCCCTATTTTTTCTCTATGAATTGTTAAATCTTTTTTAAAAAATCAGTTCCAAATTAATCAAAGAAAAATGTAAAATGTGGCTCAGTAGATTCGGAACTATACATACGGCAATACTCATACTTTTAGACTTTATACTCATACTTTTAGATTATATATATATAATATATAAGTTATATACTGCTATTGTATTGCGTATTTTTCGACCGTAAGTTATAAATTATACGTTTTATTAATTCGTTTATCTCAACAATGAGTGTTACATACAGAAAAGAAATCTCTAAGATGTAGTAACAAAGAAATCGCAAAATTACTGTTATAAAGAAATCATATATGATGCTATAATAGAAAATATACGTTTCATTGACGTTATGATATTATTTAATAAAGAGGAATATATGTTGTGTGTGTGTATATATATATATATATACACATATATACATAATATACATGTATGCACGAAGCGATATTTATATCATGACTTGATGTATTCGGGCTATTATTGAAATCGTGCCATTTCAAATTATACAGATAATCACTTAATAATTTGTATCTTACATTGAAGATTTATCTTTCATTTCGCTTCAGCAAACAAATAATTAAAAAACGAAATGATTCCAAGTATATCTCCTTTAATTCTATTCATTCTTATGCTCAAGCAAGAAGATATTGGATTTTCTCGAAGAGCAATAGACAAATCAGCCTATATACGTATTTATATACATGTATATATACATATGCATATATGTGTGTAATAATAGGAAATTATTCTAGGACACAGGCATACTTATCTTATAACTCGTACTCGTAACATTCCTATGTAAATAAAGAAGTCTCTGTCTTATTTGATTCACATTCCATTTTCCAGCTGGGTTTCCGTGCAATAAAAAGGCCAGCTTATACTTACTTTACATACCGTTACACGCCTTTCACGCAACAACGACGATATTGCGGACCTAATTTCTTCACTTTTCTTGAGTTCCGCCTCCGACGCAGAATCGGTCCGGCTCTGACTGGCAGTTTCATTGTCTTTTTATAACGATATATAAAATGATATTCTAACACAGACAGCGAATGCGTTGATTCGGAAGGAAGCAGCAGCTATGTTCACATAGAACAATGTGTATTTATATAAGGAATAACATTATTTATATATATATA